CAAGGAGTTCTTACTAAGAGGACCTTAGTGAAGAGTCCTTACGACGGGAAAATTATTCAAGACTTCTTACGAAGAGAACCTCAAGGAATAACCCTTACGATGGGAATGTGACTCAAGAGTTCTTACGAAAAGAACGCGCACGAATTATCCTTACGATGGGAGTCTTACCCAAAAGTCCTTACGAAGAGAAACTTTATATAAACCAAAAAAAACGTCCCACGGGACTCTTGCTCAAGACTCCTCACTAAGAGAACCTCAATAAAGAAGCCCTAATGCGGAAATGTTACTCCAGAGTCCTTACTCAGAGAACCCGAATCATGAATCCTGACGATGTGAATATTATTCGGGAGTCTCTACTAGGAGTACTTTAATGAAGAACTCTTATTCCGGGACTCTTACTCTAATCCTTTCTAAGAAATCTGAATGAAGGATCCTTACTACGGGATTATTGCTCCAGAAACCTTACTAGGATAAGCTCAGTCAAGAAGCCTCACTACGGCAATGTTACTCCAGAGCCCTTACTCCGAAAGCCCTAATACATAATCCTTGCTATGGGGGTCTCGCTCAAGAGTTCGTACTACGAAAACCTGAAAGAAGGATCCATACTGCTTCATGAAGAATCCTTACTCAGAGGCTCTTACTCAAGAGTCGCGCTACGGGAAGAGCATGCAAGGGTCCTTACACAGGGAGCCTCCATAAATAATACTTACGATGGGAACATCACTCCAGAATCCTTAGCACGAGAGCCTCAATGAAAAATCCTTCCTACGGGACCCTTACTCAAGAGTCCTGCCTGAGAGGACCTCAGTAAAGAAACCTTACTGCGGGAAAATTACTCAAGAGACCTCACTGTGAGAACCTTAATAAAGAAACCTTACTGCGGGAATATTATTCTAGAGTCCTCACTAAGAGAAGGAGTCCTCACTAAGAGAAACTTGATACATAATCTACACTACGAGAACTTAAGTGAGGAATCCCCCCTGAGAGAACCTCAGTATAGAATGCTTATCGCGGAAAGAACCTTCATGACGAAGCCTGAATCAGATAACCTCCATAACTCTCCAAATATTCAACATACCACTGGCCATCCGCATCAGCAACGGTACCATCACCAACTTCGCAATCACAATCATCATCGTCGTCCACATCAGCAACAAATGCACCGTCATCATCATCGCCATCATCATTCACCAATCAACGGCTATCATCACCACCATCATCAACATCAGCGTCAACATTTGCATCATCAATCACATCATCAACAGCATCACCATCATCAACACAATCAGCATCATCAGCCTCATCATCAGTAGCATCAGCATCACCATCGTCGTCATCATAGTCGTGACCATTATCATCATCAGCATCATCACCATCATCATCAACATCATCATTATCATCATAGTCATCACCAGTAGCATAATCACCGCCATCTGCACCCCCACCACCATCAACAACAGCAACACGATTCAACATCACCAAGGACATCATCACCACCTCCGTCCCAAGCGAGGATCTGGGAGAGAGACAGAGAGAGAGAGAGAGAGAGAGAGAGAGCGAGAAAGCGAGCGAATGACAGCTCATTTCTGGAGTACTTTGCGAGGAACTATCGAGCAAGAACTCGACTCCTGAGTAAAGTGTGCGGAAGTCTTGAACGAGAAGTTTAGGCGACAGCGCGTAAATGGTAAAGAAGTTGGCAGCGACAGCGCAATGCCAAGGCAACTCGCGAGGACGTTCCGAACGAAAACACGATTCATCAGAAGATTGGGGATTCCCCAAGGATCCGTTGGAATCCCTCTGAATCCTGAGGAATCCTTCGGGTTCCGTCGGGATCCGCTGAGACCCAGAGGAATCCGAAAGAGTCCTCTGGAATCCCAAGAAATTCATCGGAATCCGAATTCGCTTCGTATTCAGAGGAACCTGATGGAATCCAAAGGAATTCACAAATTCACCGAAACCTCCTTCAGAAATCCTCTGGACTCCAAACGGAATCCTCGTGGATCCTCAAGAACTCCCAGAAATTCACACAACTCTGCACACATCCGAAGGAATTCCTATGCCCAGGATTATCCAGGAATCCAGGCGGATCCCCAGGAATCCAAGAATTCTAAGGGTCCCATAGGAATCTCGTAGGTGCAGCGCCCCATCCCCCCCGATGCGATGCGATGCGCCCCCCCCCCCCCCCCCCGGGGGGTCTGAAACCCGTCGTTCTCAACAACAATAACAGCAACACTTACAACAAACAAACGCACAAACAAACAAACAACCAAACAAACAACACCAACATCAACAACAACAACAAACAACAATTACTAGCACGTGGGGACACTCCGTTCTCACCAGTGCCAGGGTTTTCATAGGAGGCGGGCAATACCCCCACTTTGTGGGGGGGCCGGTTCAAGCTCTACCAAATTTCCAAACGACTCTTCGCCACCACCCACACCCAGCTTCCCGCCCTATGACGTTCGGACACTTCACTTCGTGGCATGCGGACGACCGTGGCTACTATTCAGGGCCCCGCGGCCGACGACGACGGCGTGCGCGCGCGAAGAAAAAACGAATGTGTCCCGCATGGTATTATTTGACAGGGATGATGGCCCTGGCAGGTGCGCAACCGTTGTCGCAGAAGTTCGAAAAAGTTGCTCGCAAAAGCCCGTTTGACAGAAATGTTTAAAAAGTGTTGGGTTTCCTACGAATCCGCAAGAGCGCGCGGGATGAGATTTTGACATTTTTTGTTGAAAAACCATTGGTTTTTTTATGTTTTTATGTTAAAATCGCTGCGAACACTAAGGTTTTGGAAGGATTTCGTCTTGCGCGCGCGAATGTCCACTTTACCTTATTTTTTGCAAGGGATTCTTGAAATTTGATTATATTAGAACAAGAAATGTCATTTTCTATTGTTTTTTGCAAGGGAAAGCGGATTACAACAAAACAACCGGATCCTGTACACACCCTCTTTTCTGAGGCTTCCTCACGAAAATGATGAAAATGTAGCTGCGGCCTAGGCGGCGCAGGGGGGGCGCGCACCAGGGGGCCCAACAATAATTATTCTTTAGAATAAATAATGTTCAACACCAACAACAACAATAACAACAACACTTACAACACCAACAACAATAACAACATCAACAACACCAACAACAACAACAACCGCAGCAGCAGCAGTAACAACACCAACACCACCAACTACAACAACACACCAGCAACACCACCACCAACAACAACAACAATAGCACCAACAACAACACCAACAACACCAACACCAACAGCAACACGACAACGCCACCACCACCACCAGCAACAACAACATCAACAACATCAACAACCACAACCAATTTAAGAATGTTCGCTCCTATCTGCTCACGTGTCAACCAATACGTATATCCCAAAAACTCGGTACCCGCCCTCGTCGTCTTCGATCGTACCCCCTCGGGGGTATATATTCCTTACCTGCCACGTGTATTTCGTGCAGCCCCTAAAACAAGGGAAGACAGGACGGGTGGAAGGGGGAGGGAGAAGAATGGATCACGAGAGAAATTAGCAGGAGGGGGGCAAATAGTAGAAAACAAGTGGTAGAACCAGTCGGGCAGATCGGGTAGGCAGACCCGTAGCTGGCAGGTCGGGAAGGCGGGCCCAAGCGACGGGGTCGAGCAGGCGGGTTGCTGAAGCGTGGGTCCTGCATCAACCGCGAGGAGGTCTCGAGCGATAGCGCGATTCCCAAGTAAATCGTGAGAAGAAACAGCGTGGGCCACGAAGGGCATACAATCCGAGGCCACAGAGGGCAGCGACGGGGCCGATGAGGGCAGCACCAGGGCCACGAAGGGCAGCGAGGGGGCCACAAAGGGCGACAGCGGGGCTACGAAGGGCATGCATATGGGGCCACGACGGGCGCGAGCGAGCGGGGGTCACGAAGGGCATTCGTATACGGGGCCACAAAGGGCGACCGCGGGGCCACTGAGGGCAGCAAAGGGGCCACGGAGGGCAGCGAGGGGCCCACGAAGGGCGACAGCGGGGCTACGAAGGGCATGCGTATTCGGCCACGACGGGCGCGTGCGAGCGGGGGCCACGAAGGGCATATAATGCGCGGCCACAAAGGGCAGCGACGGGGCCACTGAGGGCAGCAACGGGGGCACGAAGGGCAGCGAGCGAAGGCGAGCTTGGAACCAGTACGGGCAGCGAGGGGCATCGAAGGCGGGTGAAAGGCAGCGAGCGGCGACTGCAGTCATGAACGGGCTGGTCGGGCGGGCAGGCCCCGACGGGCGGGTCGAACGGGCGGGCCGTTGAAGCGTGAGTCCTGCTTGAACCGCCAGGTCATATGTAGCGGGAGCACGATTCCTGAGTGTTGAGGACTGGCATCTGAATAAATTTGAAAAAATCAAGCGAAGCGGTTTGGTGGTAAGTTGCGAGGAAGTCCCAAGCGAGAACGTGGTTCTGCGATAAGTTGTCAGGAAGTATCAAGCGGGAGCCGCGATTTGGTGGTAAATTGCCAGGAAGTCCCAAGCGAGAGCGCGATTCTTCAATCCATTGCGAGGAAGTATCAGGCGGGAGCCGTTGTTGTTGTAAACAGGGGGCCAACGATACAATTTGACCATCAAGACCTTCCCGGATAAAAAACAAGGTGCGAACCCCGGGAAGGGCACTTCAATCGAACAAATACAATGTGCACCGGGCGGTGATGAGATAATGTGTTGATTAGCAACAAGATCTCTTTTCATCTTGAGCCAAAATAGGTACACGGAGGAGGGTGTCAGAATCACTCCTCCTCGGGCCTGGCCGCCAACCCGGCCAGGCACGACATACGTCGTACGCGGGCGCGTCCAAGCCGACACGCCCATCTCCACGTCACACGCGGGCGCGTCCAAGCCGACGCGCCCATCTCGTCAGCCAGGCTGCGGCCATGCCGCGAGCCCCTCACTTCACCCGTCCGGTGCGATCATACCGCCACCGGCGGAAACTCATCCAGCCCCACAGGTAGCGGAGCATGGATTCGATCCACTCCTTCACTTGATATCCTTCTGGGTCGAACTCGGTGCCCGATCCCAGATGTTGAGCGTCGCCATGTGTCTCCTCAAGAGAGATCCACCCACGCTCTTGGTCAGCACGTCCGCGACATTGTTCTTACCAGGAACCGCGGCGATCGAGAGGTCGCCCTTGCCCACGCGCTCCTGGATCCACAGGTATCGGGATTGAACATGTCGCATCTTCCCGAGACCTCGCCGTTGGACGTGGCCCCGGGCCGCCGATGAGTCTGAGGCGAGCTCCACCTTCAGGTCCAGCCCCCAATCTGCGAAGAGGCTGTGTAGACCCAGGCCCACGCTCCCGCCCTTCACCAGGGCGTAGTACTCGCTCTCCCCACTGCTCAGAGAGACCGTCGACTGAAGATTACTGCCGTGCTTGATGACGTGATGCCCCAGCATCGCCACGAAGCCTCCGGTACTTTTCCGAGTGACTGCGCAGCCCGCATGATCGGAGTCCACGTACACTCGGATCTTGTCGAACATCTTCTGCTCCGTGAAGACCGTCACCGTACTGGGATGCCGCTTAAGGTAGCGGCCAACCCTCTTGAGCATGAGCCAACTCGCCTCCGTCGGCGTCTGCATGGACCTGGCGAGCGTCTTCGATGCCTCTGCCAAGTCCAGCCTGTCCTGAGACAGGTAGGCTACCCTCATGGTGAGGGATCGGAAGCGCGAAGCTTCCGCCGTTCCCAGCGCCGCCGACTTCGCGTCCATCATCTGCTTGTCGGCGCTGCGCTTCTCCATCGGCGTGTCCACGCCGTTGGCCTTGCTGAGACCCAGCTCGTCGATCACGATCTCTGCGTGCCGCTTGTCCGGCTCGATCATCGCATGCCGGCAGGGTCGGCCACCGCCAGGCGGAACTCCCGCACTGACCTCGATGACCCGATTCAGGAAGACCGCCTGCTTGTCGTCGCCCTCGTCGAAGCCGAGGTTCGCAGTCTTCTTGAACTCGTACTTCTTGCCTAACGTGGCTTCGAAGCTGTCGATGTCCTGCTGCTGAGCCAGCACCGCGAAATCGTCGCCGTGCCCCAGCAGCCTCGTCTCGTCCACCTCCTTGTAGAAGACCGCTGGGCATGACACGCCCGCCTTGTAGCCGTGTTCCTCCAACAGCTCCGTGTAGTCGCCCTGCCAGATCTTGCTGGCGTCCTGCGTGCCGTACCAGGACTTGAGGAGTAAGCCACACTTGTCCTCACCGTACTCCTTGCGACTCTCCTCCTCCAGCTCCACGAAGATCCTCCGCTGCGCCTTCCCGTAGAAGTGCGCCCTGCTGATGTCGAAGAAGCCGATCTTGAAGTTGCCCGGCTTCCTGCCCCCTGCGAAGCGACTCCTGAATGTGGAGCGGTGCTTCCCGCGTCCACGTGACCATCAGCGAGACCAGCGACCGCATGGCCTCCAGCGGAGGCATTGCCGAGAAAACCTCGGACGCCTCCAGCTGCTCGTCAGGACGCTTCTTCGCCTTGATCTCCTTCACGACGAGCCTGCTCCTGTAGTTGGGCCTCTCCGCGTCACCCTTGTTCGTGTCGACCCACTTGAGTGGGATGGGCGGACGCCCAGTCTCAGCGAAAGCCTGAGACCTCGGGACGATCTCGATCAGCTCCTGCTTCTTGACCCACTCGCGCTCGACCGCGCGAGCCTGGGCCACAAGGCCCGCCTCCAGGTAGCCGCCATTGACGTCGTCCCAGTAGCTCGTCCAGTCCCCGGGCGGCACCGCCGCGTCCACAGGGACTGGGCCCGACTGCTGCACCTGGGCGGTGCTGAGCTCCCCCACGTCATTCAGCGTGTCCTTGAGCTCCTCCAGCACCGCCTCCACCAACTTCGGTGGATAGACCTTCGCAAACCGCGCGATGCCGCCCACGAGCGTGATGTGGCGATGCCACTCCGCGCGTCCGTCCACATTGCTGCAAGTGCCCTGCAGTCTCCGGGCTAAGCCTGGGTGGTTGGTGACCCACCCGGTCTCCTTGCGCACGAACTCCTCCTGGCCACTGCGTGGGTTCGTGAGCTTCATGCCCCACCGACACATGGGGCCTTTGACCGTGAAGACTCCTGGATGCGCGACCAGCTCCTTGACGATGTCCTCATTCCACGATCGCGCGCTCCAGGGATGCTCATGCAGGAAGTACCTGCCTGGCTTCCTGAGCTGACGCCAGTAGGCGTCGACTGCCACCTTCAGGTGGTGTCTGGCCTCCTCCATCTCAGCCGCCTCCTGCTCATCGGTCCTGAACTTGGCGCTCAGGCCCCTCAGCAAGCTGAACTTCTCGCATGGAGGGGACCCTGTGAGCAGGATGGGATCCATCCGCTCCTGCTGCTCCTCGAGCTCCTTGACATCCTCGGGTCGCCGCAAGTCCCACGGCGCCCCGTCCTCCTTGAGTTCCTCCAGGTCCGCCGCGAAGCCCGGGCGCAGCTGAAACTCCGCCGCCCGAGCCGAGAACCGATGTGGCGAGTACACCTCTGCCACGTCCACGGCGCCCAGCTGCAACGCCGATAAGGCGATGCTGTCCGCCTCTTCGTCGGCGATGTCCACGCCGACGCTGGCCCAATGGCCGCTGACCTGCTCGCGAACGAGCGGAAGCAACTCCGCCTTCGCTCTCGTCAGCACTCCGAGCTCGACCAGCTCGATCGACGCCACGTCGAGAGCGAGCACCCGCATGTGTCTCCCCTCACTGGCGTTCCACACGACTGCCACTCCAGCTGGCAGCTGAGGTCCCTCCGCTGGCGCCGGCTGCGCCGCGAGATCCTCCATGTCCACCGGTACCGGCACGTCTGCCGGCTGTGGATCACCGCGCTCGAGGGCCTCCGGCACGTCATCCGGGGCCACCTCCGCCAAGCGCTTCAGCCGCGACCTGGTCGCGGTCATGTCGACATCCTCGGCGGCCGCTGCCGCTCTCACTGCTCCCGAACTGGAGCTCGCCCCTCCTGAAGGAGCCGCCACGCCGGAGCCTGATGCTCCCGGCTGGCTCTCTCGCATGCGCGCCGCTGCGGCTGGCGCTGCTGCCGATCGGCTCGCGGCCGGCGCCGACGCCGCCGCTGCCACCGGCTCGGTGATCCTCCGAGCCGTCTTCGGCGGAGGGGTCCCTGCCGCGGCCGCTGCCGCCGGGCGGACTCTGGCCTCTTGGCCCTGCCTCCGCTCTCGATACTGGCCGGTCCTCTCCCGGCCTGCCTCCTCAGCGTCCAGCGCTTCGAAGATTCTCTTGCTGCACACCGCGTTGTGCGCATGGCCAGCCAGCACCTTGCCGTGCTTGGCGATCGAGACGCACCCTGGGCATCCCGGCGTTGCGCCCAGCCGCTCGACGTCCGCCTTGAGAACGTACATCCTCCTCGGCGCCTGCGGCTGCGGCGGCACCACCACAATCGGTGGCGGACCGGCCTCTCCCGGTCCGACGATGGCTCGCGGCGCACTGGCCGCACGCGGAGCCACGTCCCACGGCAGGCCCTTCAGGCTGTCCCAGCCCGCCGTGATCCACTTCTCGCTCTGCGGCAGGCTGCGAAAGCCGACCGCCTTCTTCACACCGTCGCTCGTGATGACCATCATCGAGCCGTCGCGCGGGTGGTGGCCGATGTAGCGAGCCTCCACCATCTGCTCCTCCAGCGCGTTCTTCCTCGCGCGCTCCCCGGCGAACCGCACCATCAGGCGCTCACCGAAGAGCGGGACCGGCTTCCTCCACTGCCGTCCCGTGAGCCGCTGAAGAGCGGTCTTGCCGTCCTGGCCGCGCCTGTATCGGTTGATCACCGCCGCGGCGTGCTCCGGCAGGTGCGCTAGCACTGGGTGCTTGTCCTCCACCTTGACACCCAGCTTGGACTCCAGGTCCATCTTGAGCGCTCGCACCTGCTTCTTGATCTCGCGCACCGTGACCTCGATCTCCCCATTGGCCTGATGATCGGCCGGTGCCGACTCCTGGGGAATGGCCTCGAGGCCAGGAACCTCCTCCACCGCACGCCTCTTGACCAGCAGGATCGCTGGCTCGCCGTCGGACTTGTTGACGATCTTCCTGTAGCCCAGGATCCGTAAGAAGCGTGCGAAGAACTTGATGGCGTAGGCGTCGTCGCCCTTCTTCTCCACGAATGTCGCTGCCATCATCTTCGAGCGTCGATCCCTAAGGACCAGCATCGGCATGGTGTCCGCGTCGTCCTGGCCCATGAAGGCGTAGTCGGACGAGACCACCGGCACCGCCGTCTCGTCGTCCTCCGGTGCGCGGAGATGCGGCTGGCCTTGGCCCTTTGCCGCAATACACACGCGACACCAACTGCGGTAGGTCGCGTGTCCCATCGCCTCGTGCTCGACGATCTCCCTCTGAGAGGGCTCGTGAGGTGCCTTCAGCACCCTCGGGCGAGCCTCCTCCTCGCCCTCGTCGGCCTGCTGTCCATCAGGAGCAGCTGGCAAAACGTCGGCCGCGGCAGCTGCCGCTGGCTGAAAACCCGGCGGTCTCATGTCGGAAGGTCCCGACCCCGCCGCTGCCACCCCTGCAGCCAATGCCGCAGGGGACCGCGGTATTGAGTCTTCCAGTGGACTTACGCCAAGGGCTGCCTCCTGGGGACTGTCCTCTCGAAGATCTCCAGCAGCTCCTCCTTCGACTTGCTGCTGAGGAGCTCCACCAGCTCGGACTTCGACTTCGCCGAAAGTCCCTCCTCGAGAGGAGCAACCGAGCCATGTTGGCCCTTCTTGAGGTAGAAGTTGTAGACTCCCTGCTCACGATAGACCGGCAGCATCTGGTGCTTCGCCGTCTTCGCCTCCTTCTCCAGCATGTCTACCACGCGCTTGCCGATTGGGCTCTTCTCGTGGAATATCCAGCCGCCATTGCGGCCTAGGAATGAACACTGTCCAGCTCCTGCTGCCTGCCCCACCGAGATCAACGGCTTGTGCACGTTCGTCACGCGTCCCTTGAGCGCTCTGAGCACTCCGTACTCGTCCTCCGCCTTGAGCTGCAAGCTGCCCTCGTCCGGGACGAGCTCACCACTGGCCGTGCGATACGTGCTGCCGTTGCCCTTCATTCCCGTCGGCGGCGCGAAGCTCCGAGGGAATGCTGAGACAGCTGCACCGCTGTCCCAGTTGAACTTCATCCAGTCGTCCTGCACGAAGGGGGAGAGGTCGACCGCCGCTACGCCGCGGCCGTTGCCGCTGGCGAGCTCCAGGCAGTCCAAGCTGCCCATGTCCAGAGCGGCGACCTCCGCCTCAGGCTCCTCCTCCAGGCTGCCTGCCGCCTTGCCGCCGGCCTTGCCGCCGCGGCTGCCACCTTTACCACCAGCGCTTGCCCCCGTTGCGGATCCAGTTCCAGCCCTCGTACTCGATCCCTGCTCTTTCCTCCAGCATTCGGATGCCTTGTGGCCCCATCTCTCGCAGTTCCGACAGTAGCCGTCGAAGCGCACGCCGGTGCTTCGGGGTGCCATGTGCCCTGAACCACGGCCCGAACCCGTCGGGGATGTGCGGGAGCCTGAGTATGATCCGCTCGTCGATTTGCTCTTCCCCTTCGGCTCCTGGGTCTTGCCTTTCCCTTTGCTCTTGCCGTCCTTGCCCTTGCCTTTGCCTTTTCCTTTCGGGGCTCCGAACGATCCGACGTCCATGTCGTCCGGATGATGCGCCCGTGCGCGGATCGATGGCTCCTTGATCTTCACGCCTGTCCGAGCCTCTACGATCGTCATTACCTCGTTCAGGCTGTCCTGGAACGTCACGAGCCGATGCTTGTTGAGTACGAGGTGGTTCTCGATGTCCTGAGGCACGAGCATCTCGAGGGCCGCCATCTTGATATCCTCCGGCAACTCGGCCAGCCCGTCTTCTCCTTGGCGGCGTTCGTACTTGCCTATCTGCTGGATCCACTTCTCTAAGGCGGACCCCAGCTCCTCCGCGTTGCACTTCGGAGGCGAGATGATCGACCTCAGGATCAGCCTCTTCCTCGGACCTGTCGTCGGGTCCCACCTGCGGTGAAGCTTCCGCCAGGCCTCGAGACCGTTCCCGTCGGGTGCGCCCGTCACGAGGTCGTTGCTCTCGCTGCCGTCCGCCGTCGTGCTGATCAGCGCCGCGTACAGCTGGTTGATCTTGGTCTCCAGCTCTGGTACTCCTCCGTGCGCCTCCTGTGCCCCTTCGATCGTCACGGGGCGTTCGGCTTCTGCCGCCCACCGGAGAACAGGACGGAAGCTCTCTCCGTACACGCCTATCACGTAGTTCTCCATCTTGCGGTTCCAAGCTCCGAACTTCTCCTGATCGTCGCCTAGCGTCGTGGGCCTGCCGATCCCCTTCGTGTCGACGAGACCGGGTGCGGCTCCTCCCGCGTTCGTAGCGCCTCGGATCTGCTCGCCCATGCGCTCGATCGCCTGCGGGATCGCCGCGAGGCCTCCTGCTACTTGCTGCTGAAGCCGTTGATTCTCGTTCTCCAGCCTCCTCATCTCGTCGACGGTCTGACTCATTCGGGCTGCGAACTCCTGCCTCAGTAAGTCGAACTGCTGCCGAACTTGCTCGTCCATGTTTGACTGCGTGTCTCCTGGCGAGCTCCTCCTTGCTCTCAGCTATCTCCTGCCTCGTGCGCTCGAGGTCTATGATCTGATCCAAGACCTCCTTCTTTGCCTCCTCGATGGCGCCCGACGAATTCTCCGACGGGTGGTCCTCGATATACGCGAGGTCGTGCAGCTTGTTGCCTGTGTCCTTCAGGCCGTGTTTGAACTGAAGCTGACGGCGTCTATTCTCAACCGCTGCGTCGCTCCTCTGGCCGCGCCTGCGGCCGCTCTTCCCAGCTCCTGCCGGTCGACTCCTCCCGGACTCTGCCGGTGGTCTCCTCTCAGCTTCTGCCGGTGGCCCGGCCGCTGCCGAGCTTGGTGCGGCTGATGCCGCTCTCTTCCAGCCTCGGGTCTCAGCCCACGCGCCTTGCCAACTCGCCGTGGCGCCCGCGCGCGCCAAGGCCCTGGTGGGTTGGCAACAGTGAGTGGCCAGCTCACGCTACCATGATGAGATAATGTGTTGATTAGCAACAAGATCTCTTTTCATCTTGAGCCAAAATAGGTACACGGAGGAGGGTGTCAGAATCAGGCGGGGGGGGGTCAACAATAATTATTCTTCAGAAATCAGAGTTCAACGATAACAACAACATCATGATCACCATCATCATCATCATCATCATCATCATCAGCAGCTGCATCACCATCGTCATCGTCAACAGCATCATCATCATTATCATCATCATCATCAGCATCAGCATCAACATCAACATCAACATCAGCATCATCATCACCACCACCATCATCAGCAGCAACAGCCAGCACCAGCAGCAGCAGCAGCATCAGCATCAGCATCATCGTCATCAACATCATCATCAGCATCATCATCGTGGTCGTCACCACCATCAGCAAGAACATCATCACCGCCATCACCATCACAACAATCAGCATCAGCATCATCACCTTCATCAGTACCAAAATCATTATTATTATCATCATGATCGTCAGCATGCTCATCAGCATCAGCATAAGCATCAACAGCAGCATCAGCATCATCACCATCATCGCCATCGTCACCACCATCATGTTCATCAGCATCGTCATCATCATCAGCATCGTCAGAACCATGATCGTCAGCATCATCATCAGCCTCATCAGCTGTATCATGTTTATGTTCAGCTTATCATCAACGTCACCAATGTCAGCAGCGGCAATCATCATCATCACCATCATCACCATCACCATCATCATCAGCTCATCAGCAGCATCATCAGCATCATCGTCATCAGCATCATCATGCGTAGCAGCATAATCATTACCAACATCAACATCAGCATCATCACCATCGTCATCGTCAACAGCATCATCAGCAACAGAAGCAGCACGATTACCATCACCGTCACAATCACCAACACCATCATCACCACCACCATCACCACCATCAGCATCACCATAACCATAGGTAACCGTCACCATCATCACCATCATCATCAACATCAGCATCGGCACCAGCATCCGCGTCATCAGCATCCTCACCATCATCATCATCATCATCATCAGCATAATCATCAGCATAATCATCATCGCCATCAACAGCATCAGCATCAGCATCCGCATCAGCATCAACGCCATCAACGCCATCATCATCATCATCATCATCATCATCAACATCACCATCATCAGCATCACCATCGTCACCAGCATCAGCGGCACCATCATCATCACCATCATCATCAACATCATCAGCAGCAGCATCAGCATCGGCATCGGCATCAGCATCAGCATCAGCATCATCATCATCATCATCATCATCAGCATCATCATCATCACCACCACCACCACCACCATCATCATCATCATCATCATCATCATCATCATCAGCATCATCATCATCATCATCATCACAATCGCCCTCTCTCTCAGATGTGGTGGGGGCCTTTCCCCGCGCCATCGCCCAGCCAGGGCGGCACCCGGGGGTCCTGCGCGCGGCGGAGCCCCCCGGAGAGCGAGTTCCCCAGAGATGCTGGGGAGACCCCCTCCCCCTTCCGCTACGCCTTCCCCTCCGCCTCCCCCTGCCCCTGCCCCTCCCCCTCCTCCTCTCTCCTCCTCCTGTCTCCTCCTGTCTCCTCCTCCTCCTCCTGATGTCCTCCTCCTCCTCCTCCTCCTGCTCCTGCTCCTGCTCCTCCTCCTCCTGCTTTTGCTCCTCCTCGTTCTCCCCCTCCTCCTGCTCCTCCTCCTCCTCCTCCTGCCTCCTTTTCCTGTCTCCTCCTCCTCCTCCTTCTTCTCCTCCTGATGTCCTCCATCTCATCCTCCTGCTCCTGCTCCTGCTCCTCCTCCTCCTCCTGATGACCTCCTCCTCATCTTCCTGCTCCTGCTCCTGCTATTGCTCCTCCTCCTCCTCCTCCTCCTCCTCCTCCTCCTCTGATGTCTCCTCCTCCTGTCTCCTCCCAATCCCCTCCCCTCCTCATCCTGTTTCCTCCTGATGTATCCTCCTCCTGTCTCCTCCTTCTCCGCCGTCTCCTCCTCCTCCTCCTCCTCCTCCCTCCCTCCTCCCTCCTCCTGATGTCTCTCCCTCCCTCCTCCCTCCTTCCTCTTCTTCCTCCTCTGTTTCTTCTTCCTCTCCTCCTCCTCCTCCTCTTCCTCCTGTCTCGTCCTCCTCCACCTCCACCTCCACCTCCCTCCTCCTCCTCCTCCTCCTGCTCCTGCTCCTGCTCCTGCTCCTTCTCCTCCTCCGCCTCCTGTTCCTTCTCCTCCTTCCTCCTCCTCCTCCTCCTCCTCCTCCTCCATTCCCTCCTCCACTCCTTTTTCTTAATCCCTATTCCTTATGAGCAGTTTCCCCCTGTCGCACCCCGAGTCCAATTTTTAGGGCGGGCCAGGCGTTCCGCCTGAGACCCTCACCTTTTATGACCCAGAAACCAAGCCGTTGATGGAGGGCGGGTCGGTTCTAAAATGTGGCTCTCGCCTTAGCGACGCGCACATTCGTTGTAAAACATTGTAAGAGCTTCA